TTAATACTCTTCAACATAAGTATGTCTTCAAACCTACCGAAACAATTCTTAGTAAGTAAACCCATACAGCACAAACCTTGCAGTTACATTGCAGCTACATTACAGCAATGTTGCAATATTGTAGCAATGTTATTGCAATGTAACTGCAAGTTTTGTGCTGTACGGGAAAGAGTTTCTATTTTCAAGTAAATAAACTGTTGAAGAGCTTTCAGTTTCACTCTGCTTTCTCATGCAAAGACTGTATCAGACTATGGCTGTTTTCCTCTTAGGAGACACAAATTAACACACTCGAAAACAGTTCGCCACTGTAAAATGGCAAAGATTTAATGAACAGGATTTTAAGAGAAAATTCTATCAAGATACTCGGAACGCATGTGTTCGTCGATCAAAAACGCACTCCTCTCGAGCAGAGTCGAAAAGTGTCGATTGAATTTGAATTAAATTCCAAATGGAAAGTGACGTGCGTTGATTTGTGTCGAAAATGCAGACTGCGTTTACTAAAAGGAAAGCAGCCTGTGCATCAAAACCCGAGGATTGCTAGCTGAAAATTAGAATTTGACCAATTAAACATATAAATTCAATTTTTAATTCCAAACTTTAATTCACAATCCTTTATCTCTATTGTAGTCTCCGATACAAGCTTTAAGCCGAATCTGTAATGTACTCTTTGCGTATAGAAACATTCTATTTGTAGTCAATAAATACGTTTCAAAAATTTGCGCAAGTGGATAAATTGTATATTATACACTGTACAATCGTACACTGTCGACAAATTTTTCAAGCGTTTCGATTTGTTTATATAAAATAGAACGTTTCTAGATGCAGATAGCACATTGTAGATTTATGATTGAATAAAGAGTGCAGCAAAGCCTCTCAACGGATCATTTGGTCTGAAGATACGCAAAGTACACATGAGTTTTAGTCCCGGTCTACAAGTTATTACGTCAGAACTAGATGTTTGCCGATCCTTTTTCTTTAGACAAATACTTTTCGTTAGACCAACAACTCATTGTAGACCGGGCCTTAGGAAATTTACCTGGAGCTATTTTATATTTGCTGAGAAGATCTATTCTAATTGTTTCAATATTTTTGAGGACGTATGTCGCAAAGTATGTCACATAGAAACATAATCGTTAAACTTGCAGTAAAACAATAATTCTCGGATTAAACATTCCGAGAAAACGGAGCATCAATTGATGTAAGAACGACATTAAAACTGTTGACTCGTTTTTATCCCTCTTGGAATAATACGTAATATACTAATTATAATATGACAATTAAAAACAAATATATCATATCAATTAATACGAAAAATCTCTCTCGTACAATTGTCTCATGGTTTTGATTTTATTTCAGATTGCTTGAGTGAGATTCTGTTGCGATTTGCCCGTAAATATGTTTGGACAAACTGGAAACGCATCGTTCAGTACGTATATGAAAAATCTCCCAAGGGACTTAATTAGGAGTTTTGTTTTTTTTAAATTATTATTAAAACGTGTATGTTTACACCTTTAGGTGGATTTAGCACAGCTACGCAAAACAGTCCGTTCGGTCAATCACCCATTACTACAACAAGTTTTGGTAGTGGCGCAACACCTGTCTTTGGTAGTAGCAATACTTCATCACTCTTTAGTTCTCAGCCCACAGGTTCTACCACAGGTGGCTTGTTTGGAAATGCCACAACGCCACCGGCATTTAGACAGCCATCTAATACTCAACCGTCTTTTGGAGGTAGCAATTTATTGACTGTTTCACTTGCATGTACAACTTAAAAAAAAAATTAAACTCCTGTATGTATATTCGTGCGTGCGCAAGACGCTCCCATGCATTTGAAACAAATTCTCGATCGTTATTTAATTAGCTCTTTAGAACAGCGTTTCGCGAGCAAAGGTCGCTCGAGATCACTGTCATTCCGGTAGACAGTGATTTTCGCAGACTGTAGGGATTATTCGTATTAGAAGCGTAGCAAATTTTAAGGATCCAACCGGGGATCATAAATTGATTTGAATCTCGCTGATCTCTTTCGAAATGATACAATTTATGTCCATTATACTATTTCCTGTGGTATAAAACATCTTCACCTATGCGTTGTGTGTGTATATGTGTATTTTTACAGTACAGCTTTACATCTGAGAGAAATAATTTTTACAGACCGTATTAGACGTTCAACAAATATTAAATATAACGTGCAATAGAAATTACAAGTCGATCTACACGATATATACTGTGCTCGTTATATATTATTGCAATTTGACAAATACACTGTTGCCTCTGCAGGCTTTGGGACAACAAATACAAGCACCAATCTTTTCGGCACTCAACAAAATACCGGGACAAATCTTTTCGGCACGAGCACAGGAACCTCGGCGTTTGGCCAAGCAAACAAGTCCGGTTTTAACTTCGGTACGACATCCGGGACGAATTTGTTCGGACAGCCGCAGCAAAATGCGCAGCAAGCTACTCCGTTTGGTCAGGCCAACACCGCCACAAACACAAATCTTTTCGGTACAACCACAGGTAAGTGCGGGCGCAACTGTGCACATACTTGGGTCAGTAATATTCGAAATTTCAAGCACTTTGATTTCCCTCGCCTACAGGTTTCGGCAATACTAATCCGACTACCGTGCCACTTGGCACTGCGGTGAAATTCACGCCTATCATTACAACCGACTCGATGTTGAAAAATGGAATATCGCACAGTATCTCGGCCCGTCACTGTTGCATCGCGTCTATGAAGGAATACGAGTCCAAATCTTACGAGGAGTTACGCTTCGAAGATTATCAACTTGGAAGGAAAGGTACAACCTTTTGCGTGATCTATTTCAATGCCAGACTTGACATTTTGGCTTACCTCTTGTTTTTTGTCTTCGAACAGGTCCGCAGACAGGACTCTTTGGAGAGTCGGCGCAAACATCGCCGTTTGGTGGCACAGCAGCTGGTACTAGCACAGCTGGGACAGGCAAGTAGTGCGATGTAAAACATTTGTCAACTAAACAGTGATATTCAGACGAATGTAGATTGACAAACATGAATAATTATACGATAAATCTGTACAATTGTGTTGTACATATGTGCATATTTATATTGTATAATTGTATATGTAATTTTATGTATACAATATTACGGACTGTCGCTTTGTACAATTGTATAATTGTGTATTATAAATGTTATGCTTCACATATGCTTGCCAACCCTGTACAAGTCTGAATATTGTGTCTAGATTCTCTAAGACAATTATAATTGTAGGATTTAATATACTCGTTGTGGTTGTTAACTTGTGGTTTATTATCACTACTATTATATTTTGGTAACGAGGTATCGCTCAGAATCAGTGAGTACGTCCTAACGTTTCGCTTGCTTGACGATCTCTGCCCTCCTTTCCCCTCTCTCTCCGGAACCTCTACGAACCGCACTGAACTTTCCCGACTCTGGCGTAGTAATACATGTTCACCTCCGGGCGCAGTAATACAATGACATCCCGATTTCTAGCGCTTATTCGATACAAAGAATCATAAAAGTAACTAAATTCTACACTCGGTCATTCGACTGACATCTGCCCTCAGATGTCATCTCTTGGTTGTCGTCTTCTGGTGGATTTTCCTGATGGTCGATCCAGGGCTTCATACAATCAGCAGCTGTTGAAGTTTTTCGTGGACCTTCTCCCTCACCTATCTTGTCCACGATGTAGCGATCATTCCGCAGAACTCGGTTGACCTTGTAGGGTCCCAAATATTTTGTCCAAAACTTTTGTCCTGGCCCTCTTTGAGTCCGCAGGATGGCCACTAATTCGCCTTCCTGATATCTGTTAGGTTCTTTCCGATGTTTGTTGTAATTCCTTTTATTTTCAGCTTGGATCTTCGAAATTGCTGCATGTGCCTTTTCTCGCAATTGGTCTCGTTTATCTTGAAAAGTCTCAGCACTTTCT